TATATATATATATGTGTGTGTGTGTGTGTGTGTGTTTATTACGTTTGTTTATTACGTTCACTGGCACTACTAGAAAAATTAAAATTAGAGAGGGAACAAATCCGTCACTAATCTTTAAAAAATCCGTCACAAATAAATTAGTGACGAAATTTGTGACGGAAATGATTCCGTCACAAAAATTGGCATCACAAAATATTTAGTGACGGATAATTTTGTCCGTCACAATTAGTGACGGAATTAAGGCATCACAAACAATATAATTTTCGTCACTAATTTGTAACAATAAATGTTTAGAAATTAATAAAAATTTGTCGCAATTTGTGACGCCTGTAATTCCGTCGCAATTTGTGAGGGACTAGATCCCTCGCAATTTGTGAGGGACTAAATCCCTCGCAATTTGAGAGGGATTGAGAGGTATGTGAGTCCGTCACAAATTGTGATGACTATAAATCCCTCACAAATTGTGATGAATATAATCCTTCACAAACTGTGATGACTTGTATCCGTCACAAACTGTGATGACTATAATTAACTAGAATCCGTCACAATTTGTGACGAAAGAAATCCGTCACAAACTGTGATGCCCAAGATTGACTAAAATCCGTCACAATTTGCGACGCCAGAATTCCGTCACAAACTGCGATGACTAATCCGTCACAATTTGCGATGGATAAAATCCGTCACTAACTGTGATGACCAAATCCGTCACAAACTAGGATGACTCACAAACTGGGCGTATGTGTTAACTAAATTTGCGATGAATAACTGTAAAATCTGTCACAAACTGTTGTGCTAAATGAAATCCATCAGTGATAAATAAAATCCATCACAAATTGTAAATTATTTTTTCATAAATTTGTAAAGAATATATTTTTCTCCTGTAATTGTGATTAACAAATAATTTATTAATTAATCAAAAAAGTTGAATTTATTATCTATTTGTTTAAAAAATAACAAAATAAATAATTAAGAAAAATTTCTCAATTCTATAAAAGCATGTAACTAAACACGAATATAAGAAAGTCAAGCATACCATAGATATACAAATAACACCAAATATAACAAAGTTCATGACTTTAGTTGATCCCCTAATGTATGACAAGTACTATAATAAAATTTAAACATAACAAATTATAAGTTTAAAGCATAGTAAACATAATAGTAAAAGATAATGCATCCCTAAACATCTATATCATGATCATCATCTAACTCATTATCATCAGATTATATAGTGTCAGCATCATGTGTAGGAGGAGGTTGGGGAGGACGAGAAGATTGAGAAAACATCTCCATAAATTGCTTCAACTGCTCACGAACCAACTGAGACTCTTCCTGTGAAGCACAAATCAAATCTGCATGGCTTTGCAATTGTTCTTTCAATGATTTGTTTTCTTCAGACAAATAAATTCTTCTGTGATACTTCTATGACAATCCACTCTATTATCCATCCACCTTCTATTTTCAGGAATATTCATTTCTGATGCATATAATAAGACAAAATTAATTATTATAACAATTTTAATCTATTTTCTCCTATGACACTCTTATGAGCATTAAATGAATTTTGTATATATATATATATATATATATATATAGAGAGAGAGAGAGAGAGAGAGAGAGAGAAACATAGAGAAAAGAGATAGAGACAATGAGGGGTTCACTTCAACAATAACACTTAGTGGAGTTACTCCATTCAATAATAACCCATACATTAGTCGTTTACATAGAGGCATAGTATATATATATATATAAACCATACTTGTAGTAGAATAAACAGTCTTAGTGTACTATTTCTTATTTTATTCTTATTCTGAACTAAACAATAACATTTGTCTTCTGAAATTTAATAACAAGTAACTAAGTGTGCTATATAATCCTATCAGTTGCAAACAATCATTGAAAAATGCGTTTATAGTATGTTAATGGAACAATTATTGATTCAAGATCTTGCGTATTTAATTTGTACAATTAATCAACTGTATATATTAACTCATTACTATTGTCCAACATATTATATTCATATGTTCTCATATAGTAAAACTCTAACAGTAATAATTATAAAAACTGAATGATAAAAAGGTTATAAATACCTTGAATAAATCAGAAACCTTCTCAGCAATATATTTTTGTGTGAAGGATTTTAGTATATTCCATGGAATGAGTGTGTGAAGGATTTTAGTATAGGATAACCTAAGATGTACAATGAGTGAAAACTGGAATTATTGATATTATAATTAGGATTCTCCTTTTTGACCCCACTAAATAAAAAAAATTAAAAATACATGAAATAAATTATAAAAAAAAAACTATTTATCAAAGTAGGTGATTTTTGACATCTAAGCAGACACGTGGCATAGAAAACGCATGGGGAGTGGGCGTTTTTTTAGAAAAAGCCTCCCCCCAGGCGCCTTGTTTGGCTGATGTGGCAGTCAGTACAGTTGGAAAAGAAAGAGCAGGGGGGAAGGCGTTTTTCAGAAAGAGCCTCCCCCCAGGCGCCTTCTATTTACATGCAGGTTGGAAAAGAAAGAGCAGGGGGGAGGCGCCATCTGTTGTAGATGTTACACGTGGCAGGTTTGTAAAAAAAAGAGCAGGGGGGAGGCGTTTTCAAGAAAAAACCTCCCCCAGGTGCCATCTGTTTACGTGGTTATATGTTGCAATGCGCCTCTCCCCCAGGTGCTATGAAATTCAAAGTAGTTAAATGTAGAACGTGTTATTGGGTTTCACAAAATTCACTTCTTCCGGTGTGGTCCAGGTGATATTTTATTTGGTGGTCCAGGATAGTGCAAGTGAGTAATATATTTTATTTGTTGTAATTTTAAATTTTAATTTTTATAATATATTGTATGTTTGTATCGTTGTTTATTTTGTAAAATAGAGTGGTGTAATAATTTATTTATTTTTTAAATACAATGGTTAATACGTAAGTTTTAAACGTGGAACGGGCCGTTCTGAAAACGCACGTATTCAGAACGGGTCGTTCTGGTTGGTAAAGTAAGGAGGGTTATGTACAATAAGAACGGGACGTTCTGAAAGCATAACGGCCTGTTCTTATTGTATTGAAGATTTGTTATTTTTTGCTTTGGAACGGCACATTCTCCTTTTAGAACAGGCCGTTCCGGAACTAAAATGAACATCTTATGAGCTCTCTGAGAACGGGTCGTTCTAATTTCAGAACGCCCATTCTAGATCCATAGATAAGACACCACTGTTGGCTGGAGGAAGATAAAAAGTAACTACTAGCTGGCCATCTATAACTACGGGATGTTGCTGCGTTGGTGAAAAATAAAAAGATGACAATCCTATTCCTTGAAATGTCACCGCGTTGGCAGCTGCGTCCATAGCCCAACTAGTGCCTGGAAAGACTGCAGTGATAACGGTAGAAAAAGGGCCAGGAAGAATTGGCAGATCCATCTATTATTATATATTAAATTTTTCACAAACAAGAAATAGGGAGTGAGAACAATTATTAAATAAATATAATTAATTA